TAAACTAAAAGTAAACAAATTATAAACAAAAGAAATCTGAAAGTTTTCAGATTTTACATGACGCCCAAAGGGGGGTTTCATTAACGTTTTGTGTGGAACGTTCATTTATTAAATATCATGTTTTTCGCACATAAATCATAAAATTCAATTCAACAGCAATATCGCAAAATAATTTCAAAATGAGCATATCTTTAGAATTTCCGATACACAGTCTCGCACGGTGGAGATAAAAATGTTATTTTTGTACAGTGTTAACATAGCTGTCTTTTAAATCGTTGAGTTTGTTAATCATATATTCGTTAAAGTGTTACAAAATATGTAATCCATAATAAAACCAATTTCAAGTTCCAGATTAGGGCTTCCAGATGTTCATATTTTGTGGAAGATTATGTTGTTCAAAATTTGTTGGTTCTAGGTACAATTGTTTTATCACAATACCAGAAACATTTATACGTTTATGGGTGTCCGCCGAAAACATCGTGGACGAAAACGTCGCGGAGAAAACAAGGCAAGACGAAAACGTCAGGACACAAAACATCGTGGGAGAAAATAAAGCAAAGAGAAAACGTCACAGTTCTAAAACATTGTGGTATAAATAGTCGTTGAAAATAAAGCGGTTCAAACACTTCGCAGTTTAAAAGCATCGTTGTCGAAAATATCGTGGTAAAAAATAAAGTACCTACAAATCATCGCATGATGATAACATCGCAGACATGCGTTTTTCAGGCTTTATTAATTGTAAACGGATATTCGCATAATGATTTGCGAGGGCAAGATGGAAACAAGGATAATTTTCACTTTCATGTTTTTATTAACTAATAAATATTTGCTGAAAATATAAAATGGAAGCTTAAGCATAAAAAATTAATGCAAATTATAGCATTTAATAGAATTTTAAACTGACATATATGCCAATGCCAATGATTATAAGTTACGGAATGCCTATGGTTCAAAACCATGTACCTTCTACGTCAGAAAAACATCTAAGTAGTGAGCAGAAATACGAAAAATGCATAATTGGTTATCATGATGCACACTAGAGGGAGCTACATTAGCTCAAGAAAGTTTACGGATAGGAAAAATCAAATTTTGATTTTTTTTGGAAGTTTTATGATTTAAAACTTTCTTATATTTTTTAATTTTATATTTTTTTCGGGGGTATTTTTTTAAAAATTTTATAACACATAAATACGACACTAAAGCAAAAAGCGGAAATGAAAGATTTTACAGATTAATAGGCTCTTTGGCATATGGCACAAATCATAGTGAAGTAAAGATTAAATTTTCGCGACGAAATATCCAGGCAGAAATTTATTTCTGTGGGCATGATGTGATTAAATAGTGATTGATAAGAACGCAGAGGTGGCCACTTTTAGTTAACTAACAATGGTCATTAATAAATTATTTTTATAAAGTTTCACTGGCAATTTTTCTTGAAAAGTATAAGTAACGTAATCTAAATAAGAATAGAAAAAAAAAAAAAAAAAAAAAGATAAGTAACTGCATGACCTTATTTATAAAAAAATTGTAATAAAGTTAATTATGAGATTATTTTCTTCACTTTTGTAAATCTGATACACTTATAGTGAAAATTATTTCTTGTTTTGTTTAAATTTCTTGTTCTGTTTTTTAAAAATTTATTAGTTAATAAAAAATATGAAAGTAAAATTTATCCTTCATTCCATCTTGTGCTCACAGATCATTATGCGAATATCCGTTTACAATTATTAAAGCCTGAAAAACGCAAGTATGCGATGTTATCGTCATGCGATGATTAGTAGGTATTTTATTTTTTACCTCGATATTTTCGATGGCGATGTTTTTAAACCGCTTTGTTTTCGATAATGATATTTTGTACCACAATGTTTTAGAACTGCGGTGTTTTCTCTTTGCTTTATTTTCTCACACGATGTTTTGTACACCGACGTTTTCGCCTTGCATTGTTTTCTCCACGACGTTTCCGTCCTCGATGCTTTCGACTGTAACCCATTTATGCAGATTTTTCATTATTTAAGGGGTCTCATACCTTGTAAATCCATCAAAAAAACGAAAAAAATTTTATGACTTAATATTATTCTGTATTGTATTCTGAACACATTAAAGAAAACCGCATTAAAAAATTCGCAATAGAACCAAAAATATAGCTAAAACAAGTTGACACACTTTACTGATAAGGCAATGTTTACATTGACGGGGGCGTGGCCGATGCAGCTGTTTACTACTTTCGCATCTGTTCTATTCAGCTTTATCTGTGAAAAGCGTTATCTTTGCTATGCGAAATGCTAGATAACGAGCCACACAACCATATTATTCTTTTCCCCAACTCGCTGGAAGGAAGAAAATTCCTCAATTCTGCTTTATTTTGATCGTGAAATAATTTGAATGCTAGAAACGTGCTGATATCTTTGATCAGTATATGCATGTGCTCAGCGATATATTTGATTTTTTGACTGCTTTTTTGTATTATTATCTTTAACATTTTTAATTATTTAAATCCTTTTGAGATGGGTAAAGAGTATAATCGATCTGTCGGCTATAGAAGCAAAAAACGCCGATATCACGGCCATAAGAAAAGTGATTCTGTTGTGAATGAAGGCAAGTCAGCATCTGCTAAAAAGCTGAAATTAGAGACTTCTAATCATGTGAATGATGCAGATAATCACAATAATTTGCAAGGATATCGATTTACCGATGTTGGAATTTTATTTGCAGCTCTTGCAACATCATTGTGCTGCAAAATATGCCATTCAGAAGTTTTACTGAAGAATCAATTCGTGGTAGCTCATCAGTGTTTTCTGTAAACTGTTTGAAGTGCAATTCTGTGCAAAAAATAAACAGTTGCCCTATGCAAGGATATAAGAACAGTGTGCCTGAAATTAACATTACGTTAGTTTATGGTATGAGGTGTATAGGCCAAGGATTAGCCAGCTTGAAAACATTTTTTACTTTTCCGTTTCGCCGGCGCAAATCTCGCTAAGCAGACTTTATTGGCGACAACATACCGTATACAAGTATACACATAAAAAATGTTAACAAATGTTAGTTCTAAGAATTTTTTTATTTTGGAGGCATAAACATTTGAATATCGTTTAAAATTTTGTAAAAAGCCAATAAATAAAGACAATAAATTTGTAAAAAGATTGTAATTTAAGAATTTACTATGCTTCCATGATTCAACATCCTGATTCGCCGTCTTATATCACGTGACCCCAAGTGATCTCATCTCACATAAACTAAGCTACAAAAATCTAATTCTCTCAGTAATTATCTACATTAATTTCAAGTTAAATCTTAATGTAGAATACAAGTTTAAATGCAAGAATTATTTAAGTTCGTACGAATAGCTTACTCAGAAATTATGTAAAACAGCAGTGTTTTACTTCGCTAGAACATTCTGATTAGAATTGATGAATTTAACCCTTGACTTTGCCTTTTCTATATTTTTGCCTTCGGATAAGCGGTGTGATTGCATCCTAATTGACTTATTTATCGCGAATGGCCTTAGGGCATAAAATTGAACTATCTGGTAAAAATTCTATGTAATTATATGCAGTATTGAAAGAAACAATCAATCTGATAAGAAACGACTGCTACTTGTTTTGAAAATGAGGCGTAAAAGGTTACCAGCGAGGATATTCCATTTGGCACCAGTTGTACCATTATTGGCAACTTTATCGCCTGCGCCGGCAAAACGGAAAAGTACCCATTTTTTGGTGTTATGAATATGTTACCACCAATTGCACAAAAGAGCTTTTGACAAGTAACTGCATGACCTTATTTATATCCAGCATGATGTCATCACCAAAAAAAAATAAAAAAAGCCACGCGGTCACTGTTGCCATGCAGTCAATGAAAACTGCTGCTGAAGAAGAAAGAGCAATTAGCGGTGCTAATGATATAAGTGTGAGTGGAGATGGTACATGGAAGACTCGTGGGCATATATCTAAAATTGGAGTATGCAGTGTGATTGGTTTGGAAAGTGGGAAAGTAATTGATGTGGAAATACTCTCTTCGTTTTGCAAAGCATGTGAAAGCTCTGCAGCATCAAATCATAATTGCAAAAAGAATCATGCTGGAAGTTCGGGTTCCATGGAGGTTATAGGTATGAAAAGAATTTTCTTACGTTTCGAAGAAACTAGGAATGTGCGATATGCCAAATATCTCGGTGATGGGAATACCAAAACCTTCATGGAAATAACGAAACTGTGCCCATATGGTAAAATTACAGTGGAAAAACTTGAATGTGTAGGCCATGGGCAGAAGCGAATGGGTACACGTTTGAGAAAACTGAAACAACAGTTACGAGGCATAAAGCTGAATGATGGAAAGACTCTAAGTGGAAAAGGTCGTTTGACGGATAGCATAATTGATAAACTTACTGTTTATTATGGGAATGCTATTCGCTCAAATACCCATTCGCTACAGAGCATGAGAGAAGCTGTATGGGCTACATATTGCCATATGTCTCCTACTGATGAAGAGCCCATGCATATGTTTTGCCCACAAGGGGAAAACTCGTGGTGCAAATATAACAAACATGTGGCCTGTTCTGATTCAAATGAAGAGAGTTTCCATCATCAACCTACTGTACCTGTAGAAGTGATGAAAAAAATTAAAACTGTGAATGCAGATTTATCTGCACCAAGTTTACTCAAACGGTGTCTCAGCGGCAAGACTCAAAATCAAAATGAGAGTTTCAACTCGATTGTTTGGAAATTTTGTCCAAAAACTTCTGGTTGTGGAAAGACAGTCGCAGAAGTTGCAGTTTTTGAAGCTGTCATAGCATTTAATGATGGATATAGAGGTCGCATGGATACATTAAACGAATTGGGCATAAATCCTGGTACCCTTGCATTTACTGCTGCAAATTTAGCCGACATAGAAAGAGTTCGAACTGCTGAAATTCGCAATGATTTCCGAACATTAGAGGCTCGCAGAAAAAACGCTTGGAACAATTAAAAAAATGAACAATTATTATCAGTAGAAGGTGTTTACTATCAAGCTGGTGATTTTTAGTCATGTAAGTTTATTTTAATTTCTTTTTCATAATTATAACTTTAGTGTTTTGAGAAAATGCATCTTAATTTTCATGACGATCCGTAAGATTAAAAAAAATATTGCATGTATAAGTCCAATTTTTTTTCCTGTGTATATATAATTATATTGTCTATAGAATGAATTATTATCATTTATATATTTACACATTTAGGTTATTTTTAATTAGTGATTAACTATAAATTTATATTTTTCTTTCTTCTTGAAATTTTCATGATTTTTAAACTATTCATGTAAAAATAATTTTTGTATTGTTAATTCATTCTATAGAATTCACTTTTGGAATCATTTTAAAGCAAGCCATGAGCCAATACTTATATTCTAAATTTAGTTATCTTACGGATCGTGAGGAAAGCTGACATGGAAAGTTCAAACTTCTGAAATTCGTGCTGATTTCCAAACATTAAGGGCTTCCATGAAAAAATACTTAGAACAATTAAGAAAAAATTAACAATCATTATTAGGAGAAGGTGTTTCCTATCAATCTGGCAAATTTTAGGGATGTAAGTTTATTTTGATTTTATTTTTTCCATAACTTAACTTTAAGCTGCGTTTTCTCAAAACACTAATTTTCTTGACGATACGTAAGATTAAAAAAAAAAAAAAAAAAAAAAAAACTATTGCACGTATAAGCCCAATTTATTTCCTGTGTATATATACTTATATTATCTATAGAATGAATTAATATCATTTAGCTATTTACACATTTAAAGGTTATTTTTAATGAGTAAATAACTATAAATTTATGATATTTCTCTTTTTTCTTCAAATTTGCATAATTTATAAAATATCATGTTAACAAATTTTGTATTGTTAATTCATTCTATAGAATGTAGTTTTGGGATCATTTTAAAGCAAGTTGTAAGCCAATACCTATATTCTAAATTTACTTATCTTACGGATCGTAAAGTAACATAATTTTTTTAAAAAAAGTTATCTTATATTAAATGTATTATATTATTTTTTGTAATTAAATGAAGGGGATTATTTTATGATTTTCTTAGAATTGAAAAGTATCTTAAATGGCATTTAAATTTTTGTGTAATTTGAAAAAGTATTTAAAATCTTATGATTAGTCGAGACAGACACACTTTCAGCATGCATCACGACTCTTTAGAAGGTATGAGACCCCTTAATGTCTTTAACTATAACACAGGGCGATAACATTTGGTGGCAACAATTTGAAAAGTAAACGTTCATTTCTACTGCATCAACGTAACATACGCATGGCTACAAATCGTTCGAAGGAAAAAAGTCGGGCATATGTATTAGTTATGGTACATATTTTAAACTACAAATTATTCGATTTTCTGAGGAAAACGGGCGCCGAGCTGCAGCGTATCATTTTTGACATGCATGAATCCGGGCCCACCAGCAGCCGAGCGGTAAAATCGCTGAACACTGGTAGTTCGGTCCGAAGCTCGAATCCCGCGAACGGACTAGTTGCATGGACGTTTTCATGGTTTTCCCCTTGCGTAACGTGTATACGACCGACTGTTCCTTCGAATTTCCTCCACGAAGACATCCCTTGCCCTAGGCAAAAAGAGGGGCTTTGCTATAATCACATAAGCGAAATCAATGTGTGACAGTGGAACAAACAGAAGATCTTCAACGAATAAGCGGCAGTTGTTGAAACTGCAGTTGGAAAATAATTATTTATCGTATGTGAATGACAACTGAATTTCTGGTTATGTTCTAACTATTGATATTATAGACTCACGAAGAAGCTAGTTCGGAGCTTCTCAAACAAGGTGGGATTTTGTAATTTCAGGGGTGGATACGGTCATTTAATTCAGCTGAAGTATTTAGTTTTAGTTTATGAATGTAAGAAACTGTGATTTGTACACCACATGACTTCCGTATACGGCCTATTAAATTACACATATTTTTTGTCTGCATTTCATTTAAGCTTATTATTATTGTAAATTAACCATCCGTCGAGGCCAATGATATCGAAAAATAACAAAAAATTGCTAATTTTGAAATTAAATATCCCGGTTATTTTGTGTCGTACGGAGGTCACACTTCTCATAATTTTATATTTTTGTAATTATTATAAAACTTTGTAAGATTCTCGCTAGTGTAAATCTCAGTTACTGTAGAATGTGACGAATCTTAAGAACTAGTTAGCGAATAATCGCTTAAGTTCGTGTGACAAGAAACAACAAGGTGGAAGGGTAACTAACCCTTTATTATTCCAATAAGATTTAACAAAACTCCGTCTTGGAGTGTACAATGAAAGCCGACACTTGGGCTTTAAATTAAGAGACTAAGAATTAAACTACAGAATTAAACTAAAACTAAGATTAAATAAAGAAATATAGCCGAAGCTATCAAGATTATGAACTAGTTGGCCACTTAACTCTATTTGACTACGAAGCTATCAAGGGCCTGAGTACGGCCGAGCATAATAACAGCTGAGAGAGAGAGAGTGGCAAAAGGCGACGCGCGTAAATCAGAAACTCTGATTCTCTCTTATTTTTCAAGTAAACTTCGCGGTTTAAATTCCGCTCCTCCTCATTATGTATTCAGAAAGATTCCAAAACTACGTTCTGGCTGGAAGTAGTAAGTTGAAGTTGAGGATTTGAGAGGAAAGGAACTTTAACTTAAAATTAATTTAACTGTTAATAAAATTAACATAATCCTTACAACTTTCACAAATATAAGTTTAAAAACCGGGAGACCACACTGAAAGTTAGATTTTGCTATTTCTCGAATTTTGTTCTTAATTTTTTCATTGCCAAAACGTTAATATTTTCGTCATTAAAACACTTCTGTAATAGGAAATAAATTACTACGAGCAATGATTGCGAAATTAAAGGCTTGTTAAGAACTTTTAAGGCAGGTAAGATGGCGGGTAAATCCATACATATATAATATACGCTTGGTACTGTCAATTGTAATAAAAAGGGAGATGCACAACTAGGTGTTATAGCAGCTTCATATACAAAATTTCAATGTTCTACGGCTAATCGTTTTTGAGGAATGCGAAATGCGTGCGAATGTACGTACGAATAAATGTCACGAAAATTTGATTGGAATAAAAGTTCTTTATTCTCTCCATACGTACAGACGTCACAAAAAAATAATCATAATTGAATCGGGAAAGCTCAAAATGGATAATATATATTGAAATATGATACCCGAAACTTTTCCTTCGTACAAGGAATTAAAATATATTGTAGAGGGCAGATGGGTTTATTCTTGGCTTATGTTCGAGAATGTTTTTTATTTAAGAAGAAAAAACTGCCACTTATACACTGGAGAATACAGTATATCCAACTGCTTATTATGAAATTTTTCAACATTGTTTCAATTGATAAAAAAAGAGTTCTAATGCTATTTATCATGTACATCGTTAAAAAAAATAGCTATTTTCTATTCCCCCTTATTGTTTATGTATATCTAATATAAATCAATGGCACCAGCGAGATTAGAGAAAAATAAAATTTTTAACTGTTTAATTAAAATAAAAATTCTGATGCGGTCACCACGTGACTTCCTTTTAAGGCCTATTAAATTACACCATCTTTTTTTAAATTTCATTTAAACTTACTTCCTCGAATTTCATTAGAGATATATCTTACATTCAATTAATTCAGTTCTCACTTAGAGGCAAGGCAAAAATACATAAAAACTCAAAACATATTCATTAAAAATTGTAAAATACAAATAAATAAATAAAACATCAAATATGGTTAAAAAGGTTTAAAAAAATAGAATTAAAATTGGAGTTCCTGCACAAAAACAAGTAAATCCACCACCGCGCAAGGATGCAGATTTTCCATGCACAAATCTGAAAGCTTATTTTTGGTCCCACTGGGCAAAAAGACACTGCAGTTGGTGCAGAAACTCGCACAAGTGATTCATTGTTCTATTAAGGGTTTCAAATTTAAACCAATGGCGGCTTTTTTATGCTTAGCACTTAAATAAACTTTAAGTTGTTGATAATTCTATAACTAGAGGCATGCAGATTAACTAGAGGCATAAAAACCTTAGCCGAAATGTAAGAACAACATAATTCGGTCACTTTAAAAGCAAAAATTGCACAATTTACCAAAAAGAATAAAAATACCGAGCTCGCCAACTCGGATAACAGAGTGAATATATATATATATATATTGTTACCAAATGTACAGGCGCGGTGGGATAGCTTCCTTGCAAAGCAGGTTTAGGGTTGCCATATTTGGTGAGAAATCGCCCATTTGGCGAAATTTGACGACAAAATTGGCTATATACTACTATGGACGGTTGGAGAACCTTCTGGAATGAATTTTTACCGGTTTAGTCCAGAATGTTCTCGAACACAAGCCGAAAGCTATATAAACCTCTAGTCCGCAGTCAGAGTATGCCTCGTCAGAGTGCGAGGAGTGTGTCTCTCTATCCTGCGGAGTGATCGAGTAACAGCCGGCCAGCGGTGCCGAGTAGGTCGTCGAGGCATCGAAGAGTTCTTAGTGTCGCGGTTAGTGCATCGTCGAGAGTGTGTTAAGCTCCGGGAACGACTGAACCGAAGAGTCGGGACTGTGCTCTGATGTTCGTCGAGCATCGCTAGTTGTAGCGTCTCGAGAATATGTGGAAATCCGAGCACGAGTCGGGAGCTGTAATCTGGTGCTTTGCAGTGAAGCTGTATCCAGCGTTATAGCCTGATAGTGTGAAGGCTGTGTCGCTGATTTTGTCAGCGTGTTTATAGTAGAGCTTAGGCGACTGTAAAACGTGACTTTAGAGCTGTCCTGATTAATATTGGCTAAATAAAGTGTGCTTCGATACTTCATCAAGTGTCGTCGTTATTCATTCCAAATCTACAAACCCCGTACGAACGTGAAGGCAGAAAATAACGTAACAACTGGTGTCAGAAGAAAAACGCAACAATATATATATGTCTATATATTCATATATATTTAGTGCTACCGTTCGCAACCAAAAAGGGAGGTCCATAACTACATGTTGTAGCAGTGCCACTTAGAT